CATTTATCTTGGTCCAGACTAGATGTGATATGGTCAACAATGGATTTGTTGTTGAATATAGATTATGTGGAAATAGAAACCAATTTATGGGCGGATCATAATCCTGTGATAATAATCTGGAAAGGATGAACAAGAAGATCTAGATGAACTTTAAATAATACAATATTAAAAGAGCAAGATTTTGTGCAGAAAATGGAAAGAGACTTGGCTTTCTTTTTTTAAAAAAGAAAACAAGAAAGAAGAGACATCGATACAAAACCGCTGGGATACAATGAAGGCATATGCCAGAGGATTAATTATAGATTACACAAGGAAAAGGAATGCAAAAAAAAAGACTAACTCCGAAATTATTGGTCGATGATTATAAAAGGATCGAACAGGAACTCCAGACAGATCCACAAAAGAAGCATATTAAAATTAAAATGGATACAATAAAGCATAAAATGGATCTATTGGAGAAAGAAGAATTAGCCCAAAAAATAAGAAGTGCCAAACAAAACTACTTCAAAAATGCAAATAAACCAGGCAGATGGTTAGCTTATAAATTGAAAAAGGAAAGAGAATCGAGGAAAATAACACACCTAGTCGATGCACAAGGGCAAAGTAAATTTGGAAATAAAGAGATGGGGAAGATAATACAAGAATTTTACAGACAACTATATGAAAGAGAGACAATAGAGGAGGAGAAAGTGCTAAAGTATCTATAAGAAGCAAAGCTACCTCGGATTTGTAAAGATGTGGAGATGTTGGAAAGAAATATAACGATGATGGAGTTAACAGAAGCAATCAAGAAGCAAAAGAATGGTAAGGCGCCAGGGCCAGACAGTCTACCAGTTGAATACTACAGGACGCTACAAGAATCTTTGACCCTTCCACTATTGGAGGTGATGAATGAAATGATGACAAAGAAGGAAATACCTAAATCATGGACTGAGGTGTATATTAAATTGATTCATAAAAAAGGCACACCCACAACAAATCAAAAACTATAGGCCCATATCCTTGCTAAACTCAGACTACAAAATTTTTGCTTCAATATTGGTGGAAAGACTTAAGAGATATTTGAACAACTTTATACATGCGGATCAAAATGGATTCCTACCAAAAAGACAAATTAGAGATAACGTAAGAATGATTTTGGATACTTTAGAGTATTACGAAGCACATCCTGAAAAACAGATGGCCTTGGTATTTTTAGATGCACAAAAAGCTTTTGATAACGTTAATTGGCGATTCATGATACTTCAAATGGAAAAGATGGGCTTTGGTAGGAAATTTATACAGGCAATTGAAACTATGTATTTTAAACAGACAGCAAAAGTAATGGTAAATGGAGAATTGACTGATCCTATTGAAATAGAAAAAGGCACTAGACAAGGATGCCAACTGTCCCCATGGTTGTTTATATTGACTTTAGAAGTTTTAAATAGATGCATCAGAGAAGAAAAAGAGATAAAAGGCATGAAAATCCAAAAAGAATAATATAAACTTCAAGCCTTTGAAGCTCCATGGCATAGGACCTGGGTATTTGCAGGACCGCCTTCTGCCGCCGATAGCCTCTCACCGACCAGTACGCTCCCGCAGAGAGGGACTCCTCAGGGTGCCGTCAGCCAGGCAATGTCGGCTGGCGACCCCCAGGGGGAGGGCCTTCTCTGTGGCAGCTCCTGCCTTCTGGAATGATTTGCCCCCGGAGATACAAAGGATATCGGATCTCCGGGTCTTTCGCCATGCCCTGAAAACTTTTCTTTTCCATCAAGCAGGGCTGGCATGAACCCCCCCCCCTTTTTTTAGTTTTTTTTTTAGTTTTTTAGTTTTTTAACTTTTAATTTGTCAATGGGTTTTAATTCAAATTGTTTTAAATTTGGGCCAAAGTATGTAATTCTTTTAATAATTTTAAATTTTGTATTGGTATGTGTTTTAGTTCTGGCTGTGCACCGCCCTGAGTCCACTAGGAGAAGGGTGGTATACAAATTGAATAAAATAAATATATAAAAATAAATAAATTTGGTTTTTATCATTGAAGAACCATTAACAACAATAAATAAATTGATAGAAATTGTTGGAGAATTTGGGAAAGTAGCTGGCTTGAAAATTAATAAAGATAAAACAAAGATAATGACTAGAAATATGTTGAAAAAGCAAAAAGAAGAACTGATGGAGGTTTCAAAAATGCAGGTTACAAACAAAGTAAAATATTTGGGGATATATTTAACACCAAGGTGTAGCACACTTAAAGAAAATAACTATAATAAGCTTAAACAACAGATAGGGCAAGATTTGGTGAAATGGGGTAATTTGCAGTTATCTTTGATTGGTAGGATCTCAACTATTAGGATAAGTATTCTGCCTAGAATTCTGTACCTATTTCAGACAATTCCAATCAAGTTGAGTTGGATTTTTTTGTAGATTTAAATAAAATGATACTGAAATATATTTGGTAAGGAAAAAAGGCGAGAATAAACCTAAAACTGTTACAAGATGCTAAAGCTGGTGTGGTTTTGGTTTGCCTAATTTTGAATTGTATTATCAAGCAGCAAGTTTAATGTGGATTAAAGAATGGATAACTTTGAGAAATACTAGATTATTGAATTTGGAGGGACATGATTTATTGATGGGTTGGTATGCCTTTTTATGGTATAAAGGCACAAAAATACAAGGGTATTTTAGAAGACATCAGCTACATGAAGCTTTATGGTTGAATTGGGAGAAGGTCAAAAATATCATTATTTGAAGATTCCAATCTGGGTATCTACAATTGAAGCTTTTTCATATCCAGTAATACCTAAAAGGGAACAAATTATGAGGTATAGTGAATTGTTGGATGAAAAGGGTTAACTTAAATTAAAGCAGGAATTAGAAGATCAGGGATATAAGATGGACTGGTTTTCATATATGCAAATATTTTCCAGATATCGAGAAGATCTCAAACAAGAAGGTTTTTATAATGTTCTGACTAATTTAGATAAGATTTTAATGGGCTCAGATGATCATATAATTAAAAAGTTGTATGGATATCTGTTAGAAGTAAAACTGGAAGAAGAACAAGTTAAAGAATCAATGATAGCGTGGGGGGAAAATTTTGATTATGGTATTGATTTGGAGAAATGGCAAAAATTGTGGTCTCATAATTATAAAATGATGATGTCTACAGCATATAAGGAGAATTTGTATAAGATGTTTTACAGGTGGCATTTACCCCCAACGAGGATAGCCAGAATGTTCCAGAATAAATCGGAGAAGTGTTGGAAGTGTCATCACACTCCAGGATCCTATTACCACATGTGGTGGACATGCAGAGATGCAAAGAGATATTGGACTAAGATACACACATGGTTGGAAAAAATGACCAAGAGACATTGATTTTAAACCAGAGACATTTTCATTAGGGTTCTTATCAGAGATATGCAATAAAGAACTGAAATATTTTGTTAGAATCTCCGCAGAGGTTTCCCCGAAAGGTTGAATTTCCCGGGTGAGAAATCGTCCCAGGCACGATGAATCAATTGATGAGAGAAGCGAGCTGCGTGAAAACAGGATTCTTTTTATTATGTTTCAGGAAGACGGATCCGGCAAGCGCACGAACCAGCGTTCCTGGGTGAGCTGACATCGTTACAAGGTAAGCATGCATTCTTATACTTTTTGATACAAAGGAAGTTCTTTGTTTCTTTTGTTACTTTTGTGGGTCTTCCCTTTGTGTGTGTGTTCTTGGATTGCCCTGTTTTCTTATTCTAGTTTTTCCCTACTTGAGACTGGGTGGTGTCTGGGCTATCTGGTCTCATGTTCTTTTGTTTCCTTCTGTTCTTATTATTTGCTCCTTGCCTTAAGCTGATCACGTTGTTATCAGGTAAGGGCTTGACTCTTATCAGATTGCTTGGGCTATTGATTAAATCTTTTCCTTTTGCTAATCCTCTGCCATTCCTTTTGTTTTGCTCTCCTAGTTTCTGCTGTCTTGATAGTTCCTTTTCTGGTATGTCCTGAGTCTTTTGTGTGTGTCATTTCCCTATGTCCTCTGGCCTTTTGCCTTTCTAAGTTTGTTTGTACCTTACTGATCCTGGCACTGTCTTGGTGGTGTTCCCTTCCTACAATTTAATTGTGAATCTTTTAACAGCAGCTAGAATTGTATTTGCAAAAAATTGGAAAGGAGAAAGGACACCTACTGAGGAAGAAATTATTAAGAAAATGATGGACTGTGCTGAAATGAGTAAATTGACATTTGAAATAAGAGAGCAGGAAGAAAAACAATCTTATTTGATATGGGATTTATTTTATCAATGGATGGACAATAAAAAATGGAGATAAATATGAAATATGTGGATGCTGAGATAAAATAAGTGAAAATTGGTTTTTATTTATGAAAATAACCTTGGGATGTATAGTGATATTTTGAAGAGAGGAGGGAGCACAAAAAGATGCAAACCGATCGATATACTGTCTGTAACTGTTGGGAATGATGATGTTTTTATGTTTTATTTTTGTTTTAAAATAAAAAAAATGGTTGCAAAAAAAGAAAAAAAAAGAGTTGAACTCAGAAAAAGCAAAATAATTATCTCCTACAGGAATCACCGTATTTTTTTTTTTTTTAGCTAGGCCAAAACATCAAGGACTGTGCATAAAGGTATTTAAATCCAACAACAATGAAGGTATCAATCTGGTTATAAAGAAACTCTTGAACCCCAGGGAGTTTGGCACAAAGGGATAGTAATGGCTCCATCAGATTCATTGTTACAAGTTTCCTCCCTCCTTTCTTCTTTTCAAGAACATCTGTTCAATCCTAATGAAATTTGCACTCACATGGATCTTCATATAGAAAATGATGGGATTTCTGATTAGGTGCATTGTCAGATATAAACCTTGGCTTAATCATTGAATGAACCACTGAAATACAAACTTCCTTATGGACAAGAGACATAAATATTTTCACTATGACAAATGCCTGAATATGTTATTCCATCTGATGCTCTTGGTGCAGCAAGCAGTTACTCTGAGCTGCCCTGCGAGTGATGCTTTCCCGATTCCCCATGAGTGGTACCAGCCTGGTGACCTTATCGTGGGTGGGATGGTGTCTCAGATAATTCACTCCTTTTTTGAAATTGAATTTAAGGAACATCCTTCTCTAAAACGTTACTTTTTACCACTGTAAGGATTTTTTTTCTTTCCATTCATTTTCTAATCTTAGTCGGATCTCCCAAAATGACTTATATGACTAATAGCTCTTTGAGAATAAATGCATGGTTTTGTATATAAACTTACTCTTGCTTCCTTGTCTTTCAAACTTATCTGATTGTGGGAAAACAAATCATTTTCATTGTGTTAAAATCTTAATCACAAAATGTGTGAAACTATTTTGCAAGAAGTCCCTTTGGAGAACATTTAGTGAGTATAAATATCCAGTCTGCGCTGTCACTTCTAGCATAATTTACATAGATTAAAAGAGTGATACTTCCTGGTTGTATTCTATTTTGTGCCAAACTGATAGAAATAAATGTGATAGCTTGAACACTTTACATTGTTGAAAACTATACAAATTATTGAGTGTTTTACAAAGACTCTCATCTTCTTACTTACAACAGAGACAGAAATGGTTGTTACTCATATATCAATGCTTTCACCATCAAAGAATTGTCAACTTATTTTGTTCAATGGGGGTGTTTAACCTATTTGCAGTATAATAACCAAATTCTACCAGCATGCCCTCGCCTTGGCCTTTGCTGTGAAGGAGATCAATGAGCATTCCCAGATCTTACCTAACATCACTCTCGGGTTCCACATCTATGACAGTTACAACAACCCAAGGATGACCTATCGCACCACTTTGGACCTTCTATTCAAATCCCAGAAATTTGTTCCAAACTACAAATGTGATAGCCAGAAGAATCTCATGGCCATCATTGGGGGACTAGGTCCTGATACATCATCCTTTATGGCAGAAAGTGTACATGTCTACAAAATTCCACAGGTAGTTTGGGGTGGAATGAGAGAGAAAAGTGTTTTGTAATTGATAGTAGATACTAGTTGCTTACCATACCTTTCTCCAGGAATTCAGTTAAATACATGTTTATCACTCCTCTTCTGTTTTCCCCACAACTCAATAGACTGGCTCAAGGTAATCCAATTAAATCAAAATCTTTTATTATAATCATACAGGTGTTTTGGCTGTCAGACAGCAACAGGTCACAAGTCTTCTTACTACAATTTGTTTGTGTATGATAAAAGTACTTCACTGTAAAACTCTACTGTTTTATTTAGCAATTGTGGAAGGATTGGTGCTCTAGGGTTAATTAGTATTTTGCTATGCCTTTCTTCATGATTTCAATTTTGCTCTCTTTGCTCTCCCTTCTCCAAATATTCAATATGTTGACTCAGAATAATCAGTCAATAGAAACTAAATCTTTTACTACAATCATAGATCAGAAAAATTTAAATTTAAGTCACAAATTACAGTACAAAATTCATCTTATTTGAGAAGGTAACTTGATGGTCTGACCACTATCTGTGGTGAAATCTGAAGCTGTGTCAAGAGGAGGATAGAAAAGGCTGGTTAGCACATAGAAGATAGAATAATAGAAGGGATCTTGGAGATATTCTAGTCCAACCCACTCTTCAAGCAGGAGACCCAATACCATTTCAGATACATCACTGTCCAGTCTCTTTTTGAAAGCCTCCAGTGATGGAGCACCCACAACTTCTGAAAGCAAGTTGTTCCATTGGTTAATTGTTTTCACAGTTATGAAATTTCTCCCTAGTTCTTTCCTTGGTTAGTTTCCATCCAATGTTTCTTGTCTTGCCTTCTGCTACTTTGGACAATAGATTGACAGCGTCATCTTTGTAGGAGCCCCTCAAATATTGGAACACTGTTACCGTATCTCATGGTTTTAGGGAAGATTGCCTTTCAACCACTTCCCGCCCATCCCCAACTGAAAGTTATCATTATTTTTATTGATACCCTCAACTCAGCTCCAGATTCCACCAAGCTATCTGACAATAGGTTACAAGTTTCCTTGGTATGTCTTGGTTGGGTTTGTTAGTAATAACTGAATTTAAAACTCATTTGATTTATAAATAAATAAATAAATTCAACCAATAAATTTGCCTAGAAATTGTAGAAGGATTGTGGGGTATGTGGTACGTCTGGAGATCTCCATGATAATTGTAGTAAATGAAGACATGATTAATCCTTTCTATTCCTCCAGAATCTCATGGGCATAGTCTTTTATGTATAAGTATTAGAGAGTTAACAATTTTCCACATGTTCTAAGGGGATGAACTGAGTGTAGTTGTAAACTAGTTATATTTCAGATGAGAAAATATTTCATCAAGGAATTTTAGTTGCTATTGTTTTTCATCAATATTGTCATAATCTACACAGAATTGGACAAATGTTCAATGTAGGGAGACCTTCATTAAGTTTCTCACAAGCAGTCTTCACATTTCTCCCATGATTTTCATGAAGAATGAATTTCTCTTTTTCGTTTGTTTAGTTGACTTATGGTTCCTTTGCCCAAGAAGACTTTCAGATTACTAAATTATTTCCGCTTTATTGCATGGTCCCAAAAGAGGAGCATCAGTACACTGGACTTATACAACTTCTTCTGCATTTTGGATGGACATGGATTGGAGTCTTTGCTTCTGAAAATAAGGAAGAACGTTTTTTGCAGAAACTGCAGTCATTGCTTTCACAGAACGGGGTTTGTTTAGCTTTCACACAAAACATTCCACAACATCTCCACTTGGAAGATTTGTCAGAATTGTTAGATTCAGTCTCAATTATTTCAAATAATTTGATGAATCGAAAATCGAATGTTTTTCTTGTCCATGGAGAATCCATCACAATAGCATGGTTCATAAGTGTCATGTTTCTACGTGATCCCGAAAATAAAGAGAGTGCATTATTTAGGAAGGTTTGGATCCTGATGAATTCAATTGATTTCATCCTGTTGGGAATTCAAAAGAATTGGGATCTCCAGTTGTTCCATGGGGCTCTTTCCTTTACTGTGCATACAAGAGACATTCAAGGCTTTAAAGAATATCTTCAAGTCATCAAACCTTCAACCCACAAAGATGGATTTCTTCAAGAGGTTTGGGACCGATTGTTTGAATGTTCATTTTCAAATACAGAATTATCTTCAACAATCACTGAGACTTGTACTGGAGAAGAGAATTTGGAGAATCTGCCTGCACCTCTGTTTGAGTTGCAGATGACTGGTAAAAGCTACAGTATCTACAATGCTGTTTATGCAGTGGCACATTCTTTGCATGAGGCAGTGAGATCAAAATCCCAACCAAGAGAGATTCAAAGGGTTGAATTTCCTAATCTGCTGTCTTGGCAGGTAATCTTTCCATGCCACACCTATCTTGTATTTCAACAATTACCAACAATCATCCACAATATAATATAGCTTATTTACCCTAGTCTATGGCTACAACTCAATAGAGAAACTGAGGCAACAAAGCTATTAGTTTTATAAAATAAGAGGATGAACATAAACCATGTCTTTCCTAATTTCAGGATAGTCAATGGGATTTACTGTATGCATCAATTTTCATTGTATAAATAACTTTTCATCTCCACGTAGAATTGGCCTTTTTTGTGAATTTATCCAATCTGGTTCCAAGATGAATTCAATTGCATTGTGTGTGAAGACAGTCTTTTTTCTTTTTTTGTACCCAAAAAAACATTTTTGAAATGTAGACATTTTACTTTTCTTATTAGCTTGTGAATAATGATTCTCACCAGAGCCATGGTGGCGCAGTGGTTAGAAAGCAGTACTGCAGGCTACTTGTACTGGCTGCCGGTTGCCAGCAGTTTGGCAGTTTGATGCACATTGGCTCAAGGTTGACTCAGCCTTCCATCATTCTGAGGTTGGTGAAATGAGGAGCCAGATTGTTGGGAGGCAAATGCTATCTCTGTAAACCACTTAGAGAGGGTTGCAAAACACTGTGAAGCACTATATAAGTCTAAAAGCTATTGCTATCCAAAATTATCCTCAGCCAGTTCTCTAATCTACTTCTCCTTGGCTCAGGAATATTTCAGATTTGGGATGGAGAGCTTTCTCTTGCTATCAATTTCAAGAGAAATGGACCAAATGTCAGTCCTTTTCAGCTGTGTCCTCTACCCTTTGAAACAACTCTATCTTTGAAAGAATATCTCCCTCTCCCTCCCTCCCTTCCTCTCCCTCTCTCCCTCTCTCTCTCTCTCAAAAGAATTGAGTCTCAGATGATAAAATCTGGCTAAAGGAAATTTGTCAGGTCTCAGGATGTCAAATACCTTTGTACTAACAAAGAACAAACAATGTAGGATGAGTTTAGATATGGTCCAAGTTTGATTGTCTAGTTGTTTAAATAGTGAATATAAATCATATCTGAATCAAGTTGTGTAATGTCAATACCTCGTTTTGATTTTGATTTGTTAGCTGCTGTTGTTTCATTTTTTCCCTTGGTAGTAACATTAAATTAATATTAGAAGAGACTTGTGTCTTTCTCTGAAATATAGATTATCTATATTCTAAGTGTATTTATTTGATATTTGTTAGCGCAATAGAAAGAATGATTAAGAGAAAGTTAAATATACTGACCACTACTTCATTATTATTCTTCCAACTCTCTTCCATTCTCTTTCAAATAGCTCCATTCATTTCTTCAAGGCATTTCTTTCAACAATTCAGCTGGGGAGAGAGTGTTCCTGAATGAGAAAGGGGAAGCAACAAGTGGATTCGACATCACCAACTTTATCACTTTTCCAAATAGATCCTTTCAGAAAGTCAAAGTTGGAAAGATTGATCCTCATATTCCCAATGCGAAGGAATTAATCATTGACGAAGATGTGATTGTGTGGCACCCAGCTTTTAACCAGGTGTGGACTCATTTAATCAACTATTCCTTGATGCATTATGATCCAATACTTAACATAGTCTCTTTAGAAATCTAATTTGTGATTTTTGAAATGGCATATTCTGTACAAACATTGTCAATGATCAATCTTTCATCAAATTGACAAAATGACATTACAATTTAAAAGATAGGTATTCACATTTGGGTTGCATTTCCATTTGAAATCCTAAGATACTGTTCCCATAATATTGTAATCACATATATTTCTTTATTCACCCTGCCATTCTCCAAATACACCCTTTGCTCATACTTATAGTGTCAACATTTTAATGTATAGTTAAAAAATGTGATGGCTCAGTGGTGAAAGACACTGAGAACCTGAAAAGCTGCCAGCCCGGGTTTGAGACCTGAGCACTATGCAATAGGGTGAGCTCCCATTCCTGCCTCAGCTCCCGTCCACCTAGGAATTCAAAAGCATGCAAATGTGAGTAGATTCATAGGTACCACTTTGGTGGGAAGGTAACAATATTCCTTGTCATATAGCCATGGTGGCTACATGACCATGGAAAATATCTTTGGACAATGCTGGCTCCCTTGGTCAAGAAACGCTGTGAACTCTGTGTCCTAGAGTTCAACACAACTGGATGGGGAAACCTTTACCTTATAAATATACCTGGAATAAGCCTTTGAGAATTCAAATATTCTTCCTCTCACCATAAAGAAGAACAATACAAATTGCTTAAAATTTTCTCTTTGCAAAAATCTTTTATGTTTATCACCAGGTTCTTCCAATTTCTGTGTGTAATGACCCTTGCTCCCCTGGATCCTGGAAGAAAGGGTTGGAAGGAAAACAGTTCTGTTGCTACGACTGTGTTCCATGTCCAGAAGGGAAGATTTCAAATAAAAAGGGTAGGTTAGACATTCCAGCAAGTCCTCAATAGAAGCAAATTGTAATTCACTACTTTAGTGTAGCAAGTAGTTTTGTGAGTTCTTCAAGGTGAGTATCCATTTCTATACCTGTGAATCACAATGCCATGAGAGCTGAGCTTTTATATCCACCCCTACAGATTTCTTCTCTGTGTTTTGGAAAAATGGGAAACGTCAAAAGGGTCTAAATTTTAATAATTTTGAAAATTTATTAGACAGGATTGAATAATTGCCCTTTCCATTGTACTTCTTTTATGGTGATCCCAGGTGATACAACGATGGAAAAACTGCATTTCCCTAGAAACATGATCCAACTGGTAGCCAATAGAAAAAAAATGGGAGGGATAACAGTTGGCACCCATAAAATATTATTTTCAAAAATATGGAATGTATAAAATCATGCCTTGATTTCCCTTCCAGATATGGATGACTGTTTTCAATGTTCAGAAGATCATTATCCAAATAAAGAAAAGAAAGGATGTATCCTGAAACTGGTGGTGTTTCTAACCTTTGAAGAAACCATAGGAATTGGTTTGGCCTCGGCAGCTCTTTGTTTCTTCCTCTTGACATCTTGGGTACTTGGAATTTTTATTAAGCACAGGGATACTCCCATTGTCAAAGCCAACAACCGGTCCCTCACCTACACCCTCCTTGTCTCTCTTCTGCTCTGTTTTCTCTCCTCTTTGCTCTTCCTCAGCCAACCTGGCAAAGTGACCTGCCTTCTCCGGCAACCAACTTTTGGCATCACCTTCTCAGTGGCCATTTCCACTGTACTGGCCAAAACCATCACCGTGGTTGTGGCTTTCATGGCCACTAAACCTGGTTCTCAGATGAGAAAATGGGTGGGAAAAAAATTGGCCTTTTCTATTGTCCTTTTTTGCTCCCTCTTCCAAGTATGTATTTGTACTATTTGGTTGTTCTCATTCCCTCCATTCCCTGAGTTGGACATGCACTCAGAGCTCCAGGAAATGATTTTACAATGCAACGAGGGGTCAACTTTCTTCTTTTATTGTGTCTTGGGATACATGGGTATCTTGGCCATCGCCAGCTTTATTGTGGCTTTCTTTGCCCGTAAATTACCCGGCAGCTTTAATGAAGCCAAGTTCATCACCTTCAGCATGTTGGCCTTTTGCAGTGTGTGGATCTCCTTCTTTCCAGCCTATCTGAGCACAAAAGGCAAAGCTATGATAGCTGTGGAGGTCTTCTCCATCTTGGCCTCCAGCGCTGCATTACTGGGATGCATATTTTTGCCAAAATGCTACATCATTGTTTTCCGGCCTGAGCTAAACCACAGGGGGCAACTTATAAAGAGAATGTAGGACATCATGTGTTCTTTCTGGCTATGGAAATGATTAACAGAACAAAAAGAGTAGAGTGCTGCTATCTACAGGAAATTATAGATGTCATTGTTTCTGTCAAACAAGATTTTAATGATTTAATTAAAGTTTTCATGAAGGATCACTCTCCATCAACCAATGTATATCTACTGTACCTAATTATCCAATTTTAATAATGTTGCAATTTAGGGACATTATATAAAACATAATCTTCCTTCTAACTCATCCCATTAGAAGTATATGCTGACCATTGACCAGAATAAATTTTGATTTAATTTGGTTTGATTTGGGTGTGTCTTCCACTAGTCTTTTGGATAAGACCCTTTCCATTATGCAATGGCTAATAAAATACCACATCAGGCTAGAAAGCAGGAGACCCTGAGTTCCAGTCCTGCCTTAGCTATGAAAGTCATCTGGCTATCTTTAGGACAGTCCTTCTCTCTCAGCCCAACCCACCTCACAGGGTTGTTATTTAGGGAAAATAGGAAGATGAAAGTGTGTTAGATATTTTCAATGCCTTGAGTTATTTGTAAAAATAATAAAACCTATATGTGTGTGTGTATGTGCGTGTGTGTATATGTATGTGTGTGTATTTGTGTTTTAATTCCATGATGTCAGTATTGCTGACATTAGCATTCTCTGCCTGGAAATGTGGATGAATTCCTCGTCCAAAGGGCTATCTGGTTTAATTCCTTAATAGGTTAAAAAAAAGTTTTGTCTTCTCTATTAAACGACTCTGTTCATTTTACATGGTTAATGGGAGTCCTGCTCCATTGTAAGAAACGAACCTGAATTTGAACAATGGAACCTATATTTATTGTAATTCTCCCTTGATCATCTTAACTGACATCTTCTCAATATTAAGTCATGAGACACTTATTATCTCATCAATACCAAAATAATTATTTCCTACAGGAATTGCAATATTTTCTTAGTTAGGCCCAAGCTTGCTGAGCAAAAACAAAATTCAACAACAATCAAGATGCAAGCATCTGTTTGTTTATAAAATATCTCTTGAATCACAGGGAAATGGGCACAAGGGGGGAAATGGGCCAGTTGGATTCATTGCTGTAAGGACCTTTCTGCCTCTCCCTTCTGCCAGAATGTCTATTCACACCCTGATGATAGCCAAGATTTGAATTAGCACTCACATGGATCCTCAAATAGATATTGATGGATTTTTGTCATTAAGTATACTCTCAGGCATAAACCTTAGCTCAATCATTGGAGGAATATTGGATTACTTTCCTACAGGGGTGAAATCAGTGGTGGGTTGCTCCCGGTTCAGTCCGGTTCTTGCGAACCAGTAGTAATGGTGATGGGAGGCTCTGCCCACCCACCCGGAAGTTATCATGAACGATCTGTGCATGTGCAGAAGCATGTGTGCATGCGCACTCCCATTGCGAACCGGTAGCAGAGGTAAATAGAAACCACCCCTGGGTGAAATCTGGCAGGTTCTGACAGGTTCTGGAGAATCGGTAGCAGAAATTTTGAGCAGTTCGGAGAACTGGCAAACACCATCTCGCTGTCCCCAGAGTGGGGTGGGAATGGAGATTTTGCAGTCCTCCTTCCCCCAGGAGTGGGTCCTCCTTCCCCCAGGGAGGGATTGGAGATTTTGCAGTATCCTTCCCCTGCCACGCCCACCAAGCCACACCCACAGGGCCGGATTTAGATGAAAAGAGGCCTTAGGCTATTCCACTTATGAGGCCCTTTCACCTATAGTGAAAGTGTAATTTTAATTTTGCTAACAATTTGAATGTAGGCCCGTCTTGATCTTGAGGCCCTAGGCTGAAGCCTAGTTAACCTATAGGAAAATCTGGCCCTGCACACTCATCAAGCCATACCATGCCCACCAAGCTACGCCCACAGAACCAGTAGTAAAAACATTTGAATTTTACCACTGCTTTCCTATAATTTGATAAAAGAGATGGACATTTTGATCCATCTTGGATTTTCAAATTTTGATTTTAATATCCTTCTGATATTCTTGGGGCACAAACAAATACCCCTGAGCTGCCCTACAAGAGATGCTTTCCTTGTTCCACTTGAGTGGTACCAGCCTGGTGACTTTATCCTCGGTGGGATAGTATCTAAATTTTCTACCATTTTTATGAAATTGAATTTAAGGAACATTCGTCTCTAATACAGTATGATTTACCAATGCAAGGATTTTTTTTTCTTCCCATGAATTTCATAATCTTAACTACAATCCCAAAAAATACTTATAGGAGTGAAAGCATTTTGAGCCTAAATGAAAGGTTTTGTATAAAATCTATGGCTTCTCTGTATTTCAAATACATCTGGTTTCCAGCTTCTTTGCATTTCAAATGAATCCTTTCTGCACTCTGGAAAGAGTGCAGAAAAGAGCAACAAAGATGATTAGGGGCCTGGAGGTTAAAACATATGAAGAAAGGTTGCAGGAATTGGGTATGTCTAGTCTAGTGAAAAGAAGGACTAGGGGTGATCTCACAGGTGGGGTGGCCAGCTGGATGCAATATTTGGCCACCCTCCCACTTTTTCCAACTGTCTATCTTTGCCTGCCCACAGCCACGATGGGGAAGGGGGGCTGTACAGTACAACGAGAGGGCCAGCTCATCTTTGTCCTCTCATGCCTCTACTTCTGCCTGCTGTCATTGCTGCTGTGGTATGGCAAGGTGAGACAGATGGCAGAGGATGGCACCATGGTGTGGCCCCTGCATGCTCGACCTCACTGTCCAACCACAGAGGCATGGGTGGAGGCACTCGATCTGGCCTGCTGCAGGCACTGCACAGCTGCCTGCCTGGTCATGGCCAGAGGCAAGCAAAGACAGACTGTGGGACAGAGTGGGCAGCTGACCGCACAGCGCATCTGGCAGGTCGGAGCATGTCCCTCCCTCCCATGTCTGTGGCTCCATCTGCTGGAAGGGCCAGCCTGGCAGTCACAGCATCAAGACTCATCTGCGCTGCGTGGGCTGCACAACTCCAGAGTGCCCTTGCTAAGTGCCCCAGACACTGTTGGCCCCTGCATGATTCCCCTGTTTGCACATTGGGAAGGGTGGCCAGTCAGTTTGGGCCAGGGCCTGCACAGTGAAGTTGATCCCTTGCTATCTCCAGTGCAGGCCCGTAGGCCAGATATGGGACCATCCGGCCAGCGGGAGTTGTTTTTGACATGTTTGTTGTATATGTAAAAAATAGGACATCACCTTGTTACTATTATTGCCCCTCCCCAAAAGATAAGCAACACGGATATTTTCAAAAACACATCATCAGACAAGCATTGTTCCAGACATGGCAGGGGATAAAAAAGACGCACTATGATAAAATTCTGGAATGGCTATCGACTATAGAGACACAGATTTACCCTAATGCTATGGACACTGCCAAAATGAAAACCTATAAAGACCTGCTAAACAATCAAGGAGAACTAAGATCGAGACAAGAACTGAAAGAAATGGGTACAGACATTGATTGGTGGCCATACTTGCAAATAAATCTAGAGATAAGACAGATTCGGCACAATTTGGATTTCAGAAAGGTCAATATGAATTAGATAAAATTTTACAAGGGACAGAAGACAAATTGATAAAAAAAACCTTACAATTACCTACTAAGATACAAATTAGAAGAAGTGGTTAAAGAAAATATGATAATTTGGGCGAGAAATTTCGGATATAAATTTGAATTGGAAAAATGGGAAAAACTATGGACAATAAATTATAAACTAACTATATCTGTACCCTATAAAGAAAACATGTACAAAATGTTCTATAGGTGGCACCTCCCACCGGCCTGACTGGCAAGGATATTCCTGAATACATCCCCAATATGCTGGAAATGCAAACTCCAAAAAGGAACCTATTACCATATGTGGTAGTCCTGTCAGAAAGCAAAACAATATTGGCAAATGATTAGAAAACAAATAGAAGAAATCATGCACCAAAAAATAGAAATGAGGCCAGAAACCTTTTTATTAGGAATAATTATAGGACAATATGAAAAGGAAATAAAATATTTAATCATCCACATATTAACAGCAGCTCTGTGGCTTCTCTAAACTATTCACATGTCCTCCAAGCAATTTGGTTTCCATGTCAGCAAATTCTAGTTAAAATTGAAATTATCTCAGCTGTGAAAAGAGCTGAGATGGTTTGTGAGAAACTCTCTTGAGGCCTGCAACTCTCAAAGGCCTGGAAGTGGTCTTATTCTCAACACTGAGGCTGAGGAAACATCAAAAGCCAAATTGCAGAGTCTTTATCCGGAAAAATAAACAATGGCATAATAAGATGTCTGTCGAATTGGACATTAGTTATCCAACTGTGGCATGCTTATAGCCAGCAGATAAGAAAATTTATATTTTTAGTTTCCGATTCAACCCAAGAATTAACACAAGCTCTACCAGGAGTGGCGTCAGTCAGCCAGCAGGACTGTCTGTGTTGTAATTATACACCAGAGTATCAGTTAATGATATCTATGGAGATTGTCAGTCATCCAAATCATGGTTGTCCTGAAAGTGCTTTTTCAAAAGGCAGCTGGATTTTGTTTTTCCATGAGGAAAAATGTCTCCCTTGAAAAAGCATCTTTAGGATCACTTAATGATAGCATTATTAGCGTTCGCACAAGAACGGCTGAGGAAAAAAAGTGGAAATACTCCTTTGGTAGTTCTCCTAATCTCCCCCTTCTTCATATCTAACTTTTCCAATGAGGCATTTAGTGAGCTGCAGTCCTCTTTCTTCTTTTTAAGAAATTATCCTTTCTGTGATTATATTGCAGGAAATTTGGTCCTGTGTTTTTGAAATGTCAAAATTCAAACCAAAACAGACGGGTTACATGAATTCACTTTGAAACAATCGTTTAATGACAGCATGTGAACCTTACACTGACAAATCATACAACTCCCCTCCATTCCATATTATGTAAAGGTACATCAGCACATGGGTGAAATCCATCAGGTTCTGGAGAACTGGTAATGGAAATTTTGAGTAGTTTGGAGAACTGGCAAATAC